CCTTTAACTACCATTTTTTCTTTTGTTTTTTCCTTTTTTTAAGATTCACAGGAATAAAAATATTTCTAGAATCTTGCAAGCCAGAATCTTCCTGGTCTTGCTTCCTCCCCTTTGGGGAGAGAATGAACTTCTTTTTTTAACTTGCTTTTTGAACTTACACTATGAATTTTAAACATTTCATAGTCAGACCCATCCTCCTGATTTTCATCAACAGATAACTTCTCTTCCTTAGGAATGAATTCAACTTCTTCAATAATCTTATCATTAACATTCATATTTTGATGCTTATCATACAAACAATCACGAGCAGTTTCCAAATCTTTAATCAAATCAAAAGTAGCAAAGTCATTATCTTGAACTACAACACCCTTATCTTTTGCTAAACAATCAAGCATAATATTATCAATCTTAGAAATATTTTGATGCTTTTTAGAGTTACCTTCCAGGGATCTCTTCTTAGCGAGAGCCTCATATTTCTCCAAAGTTGTAAGATGGACATCTTTCTTGAGCCTTTCGCTTCTTCTCCTGTTTTGTTGAATATTTTTGGACTGACCACCTTCAAGGAGAGTTGTTTTCACCATAGCTTCAAGATTGTTGCTGATCACCATAGCTTTATCATTTCCAACTTCAGTGAGCACACTGTCTTGAGAGTTTATCAGAATTTCCCCTTCCACCACTTCGTCCCCCTGGGAAACCCCCTGAGATGATATCTCCATATCTGTTGCCACTTCAACATCCTTCAGATTATCAGGCTTTTCCAGTGACTGTATCTTTTGTGACAGGAATTGATTAGTAGAGACCCCATTGTCCTCCATTTCCATAGCCCATACCTGATGGTTTTCCTGACCTCCCTTTTGTTTAGAACTCTGACCGGGCTCAGTATATGCATTAATCTTTCTGAGTTTATCACTTAAGGTCTCACTCTCAGCATCAGAATCCTCAAACCCCTCAGGAATATTTACTCTATCCTCAAGATCATCATTGTTGCCCTGTTGGGGATGGACCACCTCAACTTGCTTAGCTTTCACATTCTTTGGGATCTGTTCCACAAAGTTTTATTTCTGATAACTTTCTCAATTCCCACTTTGGGAGGGGCAGAATTAGAAAAGTGATCAGTTCTCTGCTGACCAGAAGTCTTGCTACCATCAACTTCATTGATCTTGATACCAGAGTTCCTTGCAGGTTTAGATTAAGTATTGTTCCTAGGTGAGTCATCAGCTTTGTACTTCTTTTGAGGAGGCTCCTTCTCATTAACCTTGATGCCACTTTTCAGGGTTTTCACAGAGTCTTCTTCTGGTACTTCTCTTTCAAAGATAAAATCATGCAAATAGATACCCAAGGTACCTTCAGCTGTACTAGGCACTTTGAGGATGTCCCTACAAGCAATTCTCATTCTTACATAGTCTGCCCTGAATCTCGTCTTTTCATCCACTTCCAGAGCTTTGCCAACTAGACCCCCACCTTAGCAAGAGTTCTCAGTTACCTCTAATCACCTGGGATATCTTTCACTCTAAACCATGCTTGCTGAAGCTTGCCTTTAGCACCCAAATTTGGAGACCATTGCTCTATTTTTCATCACAGTATCAACATTTTCCATAGCCAAACCCTTGAATTTGCTCCAGTCCTTGACAAGCTTGGCAGTAGGGAACCTCATGACAAATATGTTATCCCCTACTTGCCTGGCATTCCATTTCCAAGTAGTAGATCCAACAAGATGCATAAGTTCCTGCTCAACTTGTTTGCCAGTAGCATGACCTTGGGTGATTGAAATGACAACAATACTCTCTTTCTCCCTAGACACCCTCGGGTCAATGCATTCTTCTATAAAAAAAACTTTGATCTTCTACTTGAGCAGTACACAATTCAGGTCCGGCGTTCCATAGAATGCAACGCTTACAGTCATAAGTTGAGTGGTTGGTGTACCCACAGATTTCACATAAAGTCCTACAATCTCTAGTAGCATGATTGAAAAGCCCACAGTTCTCACAAGCTATCCTATTCTGAGCAGGATTCGATTGATTGTTGGGGGCATCAGTGCCACCCTGAACAAGGTTACATTTGCTTTCCTCTTGTGGAACATCTGAAGTCTTTCCTTCTTCTTGAACTGAGTTGCCCCCAACCTTCTCAGCAGCCCGATCCCACTTTTCAGTACCATCACCCTGAACAGGTTGAATTTCTCCTGTCTTCCCTTTCTGATCATCACCTCCTTGCTGAGTTCTGCGATCCCAGATGTTGTCTCGCTAATTAGTTTACTCCTATGCAATTAGTTTTATAATTAGCTCATGTTTAATCCTTCTAGTTAGCATCTAAACGCCCGATGTGACACGGACTAAAATTTAGTTCCTACATCCAAACACCCCTCACACAAATTAGAGCATATAGATGACAGTGCTCGTGCCCCTAAACCTCTTCTTGGTTTGGAGAGAGGCAAGCATAAGCAGGCAAGTAGCGTTTGCAGACTGCAATTCTACAAGGATCTATTTAGTTAACAACTGAATTTTTTTTGCCCCTCCTAACAACAGAATTTTTTATATACTTACATTATCTTATAACTATATTTACACTGTCTTGTTACTATATTTATAATGATTTCTTCAGTTTAATTTATTGAACATAGTAGTGTAATTTAGATATTTCTGGATTGCCAATCTTAGAGACATACTCCTATATGTCAATTTTTTTTAAAAAAATTATAAATTATTTCTATGGATAACAGATATTTGTAGAATTATATATCAAATTATTCACAAATTGTTCATAAATTTCAGAACAAAATTATAAATTATTCACAAATTGAGGTGGGACCCACACTCCCAGCCTCATCCCATCCCTTCCGTGAGCCGTTCCCGATGGGGTCCGGAGGAGGCCGTGTCCCAGGCGGCGCGTGTGAGCGAAAATCGGTTGATGGAGACCGTAAAAACAACCGATATTCGTATAACAATATTATCAGCATGTTCGCTTGCTCGTAAATAATCGTAAATTTCTAGCTGGGAACAGTGTTTTTCTCTCACACTAAACCAGCCAACCGTAAATAATCCACAATACGATACGGTCTCCCGAACAGGCTATATGATTGTGCAAAGACCCCTGTGCTGTGTAGTGTAGGTGTTGTCCAGCCAACCTTTCCACCTCAGTCTTGCTTGCTCCCAAGATTCTTCCGTACTTTCCCCCCTCCTCCATCCTCTAGATCTCCCCAACTCCGCCGTAACCCGGACGAATCGTGCGCTTGCTCTTGCTCCCTGTCGTCCTCCGCGGCCGACGCGAGCTGCCGGTGGTTCGTCGCCGTCGACCTCGCCTCCCCGCTCCTCTGCACTGCCAGCTGCCGGCTTCCTGGTGCTGGACTGGTGCGGGTGCGGCGTGGAGTCGTCAGTAGAGCTCCGTCTATCCGGACTGACACGGATTGACCTCTCCTCTCGTGGGTAAGTGTCTCGAGCTTTGCCTTGCCTCTGTTGGAGGTTGGAGCTCGCGTTGTCCTTGCGGACCTTCCTCTCCCGTCTGCGAGCGGTCAAGTTCGATTTTTTCTTGCCTGGTTACCTGTGGGCTCGTGTGCTGCGTGGTGTCCTTGTTATCGAGTCGAGAATCCATCTGAAATCTTGCCTAGGGTTTTCAGCGAGCTAAGTTGCGGCCATGCCATATTGGAGTTCGTTCCCTGACAATTGGTTGGCGAGGTTTAGGGAGGGTTTTTGTGATGTGCTGTGGAAAATTTGTTGAGCCGTGTGGACATGTAAGTACTTGAACATAGACAGTGAGGAGAATTTAGCCTAAAATTGGTGCAGGCCATACGAACCAACAAGCAACAAGGAACCAAAAAAAAAAAAAAGTTAAGGCAGGATAAATGCTTAGAGAGCTTGTGTTTTGTATTATCCCTAATTACTTAAGTTCATTTGTGGATACAAACTGGCAAGTTCCAGGTGGAAGCGTCAACTGTCCTGATTTGTTTTGTAACCCATAACGCCCTGTAGAATCTCCGACTTGTTAACTAGAACATTTGCTTGATTGAAATGTACTCTATAGTTGTTTTTCGTTTTGGGGTAACAAGTACTCCCTCAGTACCAAATTATAATTCGTTTGACTTTTCTGACCCCTAAGTTTGACCGCTCGTCTTATTCAAAAAATTTGTGCAAACATAGTCAAATTTAAGTCATTCTTAAAGAACTTTTGTTAATAAAGCAAGCCACAACAAAAGAAGTGATGTTTAGCACAAATTTTTTGAATATGACGAGTGGTCAAACTTGGGGTCAAAAAAGTCAAACGAACTATAATTTGGAACGGATTTAGTATATATATAGTTTTTTTTTCATTTTTTTACCTATAGGTATTTCCATCATTATGTACTTTATTTAGTATGTGTTTTTATACTCTGTTCTTTAGTATACACATATAGTTTTAAACTTTTGTTTCAAACCTAGTGAATATCAAGCAGTTTCTGAACTATTGTGTGTCTTAGAAATGTTTTAATCTTCTATACATGTCCTTTTGTTATACAATATGGATTGTTGTTTTGCATGAACTGTTTTGCAATGCAACAAAAAAAGGTACTGTTGGCTGGAAGCCTGAAGGCGATAAACTAAAATTTTCCTTTTCCTGTGTTCCCCAGGTTTTTGGGTTTTGATCAGTTCTATCAGAGGAGTGCTTATGGATGATTGCATGGCTGTAGCTTGCTAGGCCCTGCTTGCCTGTTTGTACAGATACATCATGGCACCACGCAGTAGGGCTTCATCTAGAAGGCCTCTCTGGATCATCGTCTTGGTTGCTTTTGTCTGTGCAGTAGCCCTTGGAGCCTATCTTTTTACTCCACGGCATTACACAGCCTGTTATCTGGTACCATCAGAAGCCTGCAATTCTCGGCCTCCTCCAGAACCTGCTAGGGTATACACTGATGATGAGATTGCTGCTCGTGCTATCATGAGAGACATCATTCGGGCACGGCCAGTGCAGTCAAAGAATCCAAAAATTGCTTTCATGTTTTTGACGCCCAGTTCATTGCCATTTGAGAAGCTATGGGAAAATTCTTCATGGTATGTTTTTTTTTGCAGTATTTACTTTAATTGCAGTGAATACATGTCTAGGTAGTAAACGAGTCTTAGCAGAATTGACTAAATGATTGTCTCAGCATGTAACACTAATATTCTCCGCTATTAGTAAAATAAATTGTTTAGCTACTATTTTATTTTGTAAACAAACTCATTTTTTACATACTATCTCATATAAGAACAAGGATATGTCCATAGTCACCTGCGCAGCTGGGTGTGTATGAGTACCAAATCTAACCACTTGGGTGTACTTTCAGGGTCATGAAGACAGATACACCATATACGTGCATGCATCAAGAGATAGACCGATTCATTCAAGTCCAATATTCGCTGGCAGGGATATTCGAAGTGAAAAGGTATCTAACTAGAATTGGCTTAAACCTGTACTGCCCTCATTGATTTATGCAGAAAATGTTTGTTAACTTTCAATATAATACAGATTGATTTTGAAAAAATGTTCTGTTTTCTCTCAGAACGCCATCTCTAATGATTGTAGAACTCCATTCTATAAATCGATGGATATATTTTGTAGAGTATGATCCAGAATTTATTAATGTTTTTGAACCATCACCTGTACCTATCATGGCCAGTAGTACTTGCCTACAGCAATTGTGTCCAAGATTATTTTGATGCCAAAGTTTTAGTTATAGTTGTTGTAGGATCAAATTTTTTCAATTTTCTTGCCAGGTGATCTGGGGCACGATTTCTATGGTTGATGCTGAAAAGAGGCTCTTGGCTCATGCCCTACAAGATCCTGAAAACCAGCATTTTGTCTTGCTTTCTGAGAGGTTAATCATTTTCATTTGTTCTGTTCCATCTAAATTTCAGTGATAGGTCCATATCCTAACACTTTATTCTAATTGCAGCTGTGTGCCACTTCATAACTTTGATTATATATATAGTTATCTCATGGAGACAAACGTCAGTTTTGTTGACTGGTAAGTGAATATACTTACATAAAGCAACACATTAACTTTTCCCCTAATCAGGGTTGAAAAGATACGCTTTCCTTGAAATTATGTTTTTCAAATAAGAATTTTGCTGTTGACATGCCAAATTGTCTTTTTCTCAGTTTTGATGATCCTGGTCCACATGGAGCAGGTAGATATTCTGACCATATGCTACCTGAAATTGTGAAGAAAGATTGGAGAAAGGGTGCACAGGTGATAATTTCATATGACTGATCGCCCTAGAAAGTGGAATTTTATGGTTGTTGCTTCATTTTTTTTGTATAGTGACTTTTTTTTGTCTTCCAATAATCCTGTCGTCCAGATTCAGTTACTTACAACAGTTGTTTTGGCTTCTCATAGTTAACTTGAATGTTCTCGTGTGTCCTTCTCTTACAGTGGTTTACAGTGAAACGGCAGCATGCAATTCTTATTCTCGCTGACACCCTTTACTATGGGAAGTTCAAGCGTTACTGTAAGGTGGTCCCTTGCTCCCCACACCAAAAAAACTTTCTAAGATACATTGTCTTATTAAAAGCACTGTCAAGTTATTTTTCATGTGTAACAAGCAGACCTTCAAATATGCTCAGACAACAGGTAGAGGATTTCTAGGGAAAAAGGCGAAAACAATTGTCTTTGTTAATCTGTGTCTTTCAGCCTAGATAATATCAGACCATAGCACATACTGCTATTCAGGGTGAACATGGTGCACAGGAGTAGTACATACCATACATTGTCCCCCTTTTCCTTGATATTTATGTCGTTGCTGATGTTGTGGTTGCAACTTTACAGCCAGGAAATGAATGGCATAACTGCTATTCAGATGAGCACTACTTGCCAACTCTCTTTAATGTAAGTGTTCAGAAGCTTGTAGATGACGGCCTTTTGTTCTCTTTGGTCAGCCAGCAACATGTTATTTAGAAAAACTACTGAGCAATATTGCATTTGTATTTGTGGCTGCAGATGGCTGATCCGACTGGAATTGCAAATTGGTCAGTGACGCATGTAGATTGGTCTGAAGGGAAATGGCATCCTAAAGTCTATAGGGCTGTGGATACAAGTTTCGAGTTGCTCAAGAACATCTCGGTAAGCTTCGAGCCTTTAGGAGCAAACAATTCATTACCTTTGGCATTTATGTAACAACTTTGCAAATGCCCGCAGTCCATTGATGAGAGCGTCCACGTTAGCAGCAACGCAAAGGTAAGAGTAATTCAGTCCTTCCCTTTGCTTGGCCTATTCCCAATCACTGCCAGCTTAAACGAATGAGGTAGTCCTTGTTCCCTGGAAGCTCTAACACGCCATTGTCGTCGTTGTGCAGCATGTAGCGCAGAGGAGGCCGTGCATGTGGAATGGCATGAAGCGGCCCTGCTACCTGTTCGCGCGCAAGTTCTACCCTGAGGCGCTTGACAACCTGATGAACATATTCTCGAACTTCACCATCATCTGAGTAGTGGATCAGAGGGGCCAGCACTCATTTTCTTTCTCCCTCTTGAGCACTGTTGCATCAGCAACAGCGCCACCACGGTAACAGGTGAGTAGTGTAGGGCCGTCTACTTGGTGATGGAATCCAGTAGCTGAAGGAAGCAGGAACACAGTTACGCAGAGCACGCAACTCTTGTCAGATCAGAATTCAGATGATGCCACCTGCTGCCGCGCTTGATCTATTAGATTGCTGATGATGGCTGAGCTAAGTTATTTGCCAGCTCTTGAAACGGCAAGTTTTTGCTGTTGTTGATGCTGCTGCTGATGAACTGTGATTAATTTAACCTTACGTAATTAATAACTTCAGCTGTTGGTATCGATGTTGAAATTGGCCGAAATTTACTGATTCCGTCGAGAATTAGATTGAATAGGCTGATCAAAAATCAATTTTGGGATTGTAGCTAAGACCTCCTTACTCTTTCATAGAAAGATAGAAAGCGGGGCAGCAGTAGGGTTTAGGTCAAAAATAAAAATAAACATGGGTAAGTTAGGTATCCAATAAATATTTATTTATCCTAATTTTATGGTATATTTTCACGCCATTTTCTTATAAAAAAGGTAACAAACGAAAGAAAAAAACTCTCTATTGCTGCGTCTTTTATTCAGAGCATCCCCTAATCTTTTTAGGGAAAGAGCGATGTATCATATTTCTACTTAGTGCTCTCCGATTCTACCAGAAATCATATAAGAATTTGTTAGGAGTAAATTCCTAACGGGATTCATCAGCAGAGGGATCACTGGAGCACCTTTTGCCCCGGGCTGAAGTTCAAGGGCCCACAAGCGCAGGTATGATGGGCTTATGGCCCAGAGCGACATTTTTTGGAATGCAAATTACGCAGGCGCGTGATTTTTGTTCAGCGTGCTTGTTAATTTTTATTTGTGTGTATATATATATACATAATAATTATATGTACCAAAAAACTCTAAACCCTCCTCCAAGAAGAAGGGTTAAAAGTTTTCGGAAAAAGGACTTTAAACCTCTGTCTTGCGGCGGCGGGTACGAGGTGATCGATCGTCGACTACTCACGTCGTCACCACCATGAGGCCACCGCTACGAGGCAAGCTAGCAGCCAAAGCCAAACCATTCACGGGGTTACCGCTCAATTGCTCGATCGGTGCAATGCAACAAACTGTCTGACCTAATGTTTCGCTTCCCGTAGGATACGGCGGGAGGAGAGGATCAGGCAGACGAGACGCCCGAGGCCGCGGCCGGAGGGGGAGAGGCGATGGCGGCAGGGACCTCTCTTGGAAGGGGCCAAAGGTGGCCATGGCCCCCTCCTTGTTGTTAGAAAGTTTCTTTAGCAAATACTAAAATTTACTATGTATGGAGTGATTTTTGAGTTTCATCTCTTTGCTTGGCCCCCTCTACTAGATGTTTCGGCCACTAGATGGCGG